TTTTTCCTTCCTCCTCCACCCCTCTCCATCCCCTGCAGAAATTCTTCTCTCTCGGAGCTTTTCCAAGGCTTTTCCAGGATTTTTCCAGGATTTTTCCAGGATTTTTCCAGGATTTTTCCAAGGTTTCTCCTCGTTCCCTCACCCCTCTCCATCCCCCGCAGAAATTCCAACCCCTCGGAGCCTTCCCAAGCTTTTTCCAGAGTTTTTCCAGGATTTTTCCCAAGGTTTTTCCTCATTCCCACATCCCTCTCAATCCCCTGCAAGAATTCCTTCCCTTTGGAGCTTTTCCAGGGTTTTTCCGGGATTTTTCCAGGGTTTTTCCAAGGTTTTTCCTTGATCCCTCATCCCTCTCCATCCCCTGCAAAAATTCCTCCCTCTCGGAGCCTTCCTTGATCCCTCATCCCTCTCCATCCCCTGCAAAAATTCCTCCCTCTCGGAGCCTTTCCAAGGTTTTTCCCTATTTTTTCCAGGATTTTTCCAGGATTTTTCCAAGGTTTCTCCTCGTTCCCTCATCCCTCTCCATCCCCTGCAGAAATTCCAACCCCTCGGAGCTTTCCCAAGGTTTTTCCAAGGTTTTCCCCATTTTTTCCAGGATTTTCCCAAGATTTTTCCTTGACCCTGCACCCTCTCCATCCCCTACAAAAAATTCCTCCCCCTCAGGATTTTTCCAGGATTTTTCCAGGATTTTTCCCAGTTTTTTTCTGGGATTTTCCAAAGGTTTTCCCTTGATCCTCCACCCCCTCCATCCCCTGCAGGAATTCCTCCCTCTAAGGAGCTTTTCCAGGATTTTTCCAGGATTTTTCCAGGATTTTCCCAAGGTTTTTCCCAAGGTTTTTTCCAGGATTTTCCCAGGGTTTTTCCAGGATTTTCCCAGGATTTTCCCAGGATTTTTCCAGGATTTTCCCTTCCTCCCGCACCCCCCTCCATCCCCTGCCGGAATTCCTCCCCCTCGGAGTTTTCCCAAGGTTTTCCCAAGGCTTTCCCAAGGTTTTTCCAGCGGCAGCAGCGGCTCCCGCAGATCCCGAGCCTCCTTCCCGATTTTCCCTCATCCCAAGGAATTCCCGGCTGGAATTTTCCCTCCCCCCCTGAAATTCCCGAAATCCTGGGAAAAAAAAAACAAAAAAAACAAACAACTCCCGACATCAGGAATTGGGGAAAAAAACCCAAAAAAACCCAAAAAAACCCCGGGAATTTCTGGGATTTCAAATCCAGCCGGGAAAGATCCCCAGGAATTTTTCGGGAATTCCGGGGGGAACTTCCAAGGGAAACTTTCCAGCTCTTCCCAAGAGCGGGAATCGCGGAGAGAAAATAAAAAAATATTCCCGGTTTTTTTGGGTTTTTTTTCTTCCCAGCGGGAATCCAAGGAATTTCCTTACCTGCCCCCGGCCGAGATTCCCGAGCCGCTCATTCCCGCTGGAAAATCGGGATCGGGAGCGCTCCCAGGGCAAAAAAAAAAATGCGGGATGAGGATGAGGAAGGCTCCGGGAGGGGCGGAGACTCCTGGGAATGGGGAGGAGGGAAAACCCTGGAAAAGCTGGGAAGGAGCGGCGGGAATGAGGATTTGGGAATGAGGATCGGGAAGGGGTTTGGGAAAGGGAAGGAGAGGGAGGGAATTATTTGGGAATTGGGGATGGGAAGGGGATGAAAGGGTTGGGAATTCGGGATGGGGAAGAGGAAGGAATCAGGGAATGACGATTTGGGAAAGGATTTGGGAAAGGACTGGGAATTCTTTGGGAATTGGGGATGGGAATGGGATGAAGGGGTTGGGAATTTGGGATGGGGATGAGGAAGGAATCAGGGAATGAGGATTTGGGAAAGGACGGATTTGCCGGGAATTTTTGGGAATTGGGATGGGAAGGGGATGAAAGGGTTGGGAATTTGAGATGAGGATGAGGAAGGAATCAGGGAATGAGGGAAGGGAAGGATTGGGAAAGGATTTGGGAAAGGATGGATTTGCCGGGAATTATTTGGGAATTGGGGATGGGAATGGGATGAAAGGACCGGGATTTTGGGATGAGGAAGAGGAAGGAATCAGGGAATGAGGGCGGGGAAAGGATTTGGGAAAAGATTTGGGAAAGGATTTGGGAAAGGACAGATTCACCAGGAATTATTTGGGAATTTGGGAATGGGAAGAAAGGGTTGGGAATTCGGGATGGGGATGAGGAAGGAATCAGGGAATGAGGGAGGGGAAGGAATCAGGGAAGGGATTTAGGAAAGGACGGATTCACCTGGAATTTTTTGGGAATTCGGGAATGGGATGAAGGGGTTGGGAATTCGGGATGAGGAAGGAATCAGGGAATGAGGGAAGGAGGATTTGGGAAAGGATTTGGGGAAGGACAGATTCCCCGGGAATTTATTTTGGGAATTCAGGATGGGGGTGAGGAAGGAATCAGGGAATGAGGGCGGGAAAGGATTTGGGGAAGGATTTGGGAATTGGGATGAATTTTCCGGGAATTTTTTGGGAATTTGGGATGGGAATGGGAAGAAGGGACTGGGAATTTGGGATGAGGAAGGAATCAGGGAATGACGATTTGGGAAAGGATTTGGGAAAGGATGGATTCACCAGGAATTCTTTGGGAATTTGGGATGGGAATGGGATGAAGGGGTTGGGATTTTGGGATGAGGAAGAGGAAGGAATCAGGGAATGAGGGAAGGGGGATTTGGGAAAGGATTTGGGAAAGGACTGGGAATTCTTTGGGAATTGGGGATGGGAATGGGATGAAGGGTTGGGAATTTGGGATGGGGATGAGGAAGGAATCAGGGAATGAGGATTTGGGAAAGGACGGATTTGCCAGGAATTTTTGGGAATTGGGATGGGAAGGGGATGGGAATGGGATGAAAGGGTTGGGAATTTGGGATGGGGATGAGGAAGGAATCAGGGAATGAGGGAATGAGGGAAGGAGGATTTGGGAAAGGATTTGGGAAAGGACAGATTGCCGGGAATTTTTGGGAATTTGGGATGGGAATGGAAAGAAGGGGTTGGGAATTCGGGATGGGGAAGAGGAAGGAATCAGGGAATGAGGGAGGGGAAGGATCAGGAAGGGATTTAGGAAAGGATGAATTTGCCGGGAATTATTTGGGAATTTGGGAATTCGGGAATGGGATGAAGGGGTTGGGAATTCGGGATGAGGAAGGAATCAGGGAATGAGGGAAGGAGGATTTGGGAAAGGATTTGGGGAAGGACAGATTCCCCAGGAATTTATTTTGGGAATTCAGGATGGGGATGAGGAAGGAATCAGGGAATGAGGGCGGGAAAGGATTTGGGGAAGGATTTGGGAATTGGGATGAATTTTCCGGGAATTTTTTGGGAATTTGGGATGGGAATGGGAAGAAGGGACTGGGAATTCGGGATGAGGATGAGGAAGGAATCAGGGAATGACGATTTGGGGAAGGATTTGGGAAAGGATTTGGGAAAGGACTGGGAATTATTTGGGAATTCGGGATGGGAATGGGATGAAAGGGTTGGGAATTTGGGATGAGGAAGAGGAAGGAATCAGGGAATTAGGGAGGGGAAGGATTTGGGAAAGGATTTGGGAAAGGGACAGGTTTGCCGGGAATTTTTTTGGGAATTGGGATGGGAATGGGAAGAAGGGACTGGGAATTCGGGATGGGGAAGAGGAATCAGGGAAGGGCCCGGAGCGGGGAACGAGGGGTTCGGAATCCCGGGGGATCCCAAATCTTCGGGATCTTGGAAATTCGGGAATGTTTTCCCCTGGGGAATTTCCAGGGATTGGGAATTTCCCTGGGAAAAAAACGGGATGGGAGCGATGGGATTATCCAAAAAAAAAAACCTGGGAAAAATGGGAATATTCTGGGAATATTTCAGGAATATTCTGGGAATATTTTGGGAATATTTCAGGAATATTCTGGGAATATTTTGGGAATATTTTGGGAATATTTTGGGAATTTTATGGAATTTTTCCACTGGAAAACACCGAGGAAATGGGGACAGGGAACTGGGAATATTCCGGGAATTCCAGGAAAATTGTATGAGAATTCCAGGAAGATTCCAGGAAAATTCCAGGAGAATTCCAAGAAAATTCCAGGAGAATTCCCCACAAAAAAATCTTTTCCCACCTTCTTTTTTTCCCCCTTTTTTTTTCCAGCAGAGATTCCCCAAAATCCCCCCCAGGATTCCCAAAAATTCCTGGGGACCCCCTAAAATCCCCCCCAGGATTCCCAAAATTCCCTCTGGGATTCCCACAAATCCCACTGGGACTCCTGAAATTCCTCAGGAAATCCCCAAAATCCCACAAGGACCCCAAAAATTCCCACTTTGACCCCCCAAAATTCCCACTCTGATCCCAAAAATCCTTTTGTGACCCCAAAAAATCCCCCTGGAACCCCAAAAAATCCCACTTTGATCCCAAAAAATCCTCCCGGAACCCCAAAAATCCCCCTGAAACCCCAAAAAATCCACCTTGGACCCTAAAAAATCCTTCAGTGACCCCAAAAAATCCTCCTGGAACCCAAAAAATCCCCCTGGAACCCAAAAAAATCCCACTTTGATCCCAAAAAATCCTCCCGGAACCCCAAAAATCCCACTTTGATCCCAAAAAATCCACCTGGGACCCCCAAAAAATCCCGCTTTAATCCCAAAAAATCCCACTTTGATCCCAAAAATCCTCCTGGGAACCCCAAAAAATCCCATTTTGACCCCAAAAATCCCCCTGGAACCCCAAAAAATCTCACTTTGATCCCAAAACATTCTCCTGGAACCCCAAAATTCCTCCTGGAACCCCCAAAAAATCCTCCCGGCACCCCAAAATCCCCCCCGGCGGCTCCAATTTCCTGGAAAATCCCGGGATTTGGGGAAAATCGGGAATGGGGCGTGACCGGGGCCTCGCGGAGGGGGCGTGGCTTTCAGGAGTGGGCGTGACCACGACGATAGGGGCGTGGCCTCTGCCACAGGGGCGTGGCCACAGCGAATGGGCGTGGCTTCAACAGCGCGAGTTAGCTCATTGAGGGGCGTGGTTTATCCGAGGGGGCGTGGCCTGAGCGTTGCCAGAGTCCGAGGTCGCGGGTTCGAGTCCCGGCTCCGACCATGGCGGCCCCGGCGCGGCGGGCGGTGCTGTTCGACCTTGGCGGCGTTTTGCTCACGCCGGGCCTTCAGCACTTCCTGAGCTCCTGCGAGAGCGAATGGGCCTTGCCCAGGTAGGGCACGGCTCGCTCCGGTTCGGTTCCGGTTTCGGTTCCGGTTCAGTTCCGCTCCGTTCCGAACCCCCCGGACTCCGCGCGGCCGAACGCGCCCGCCCGCGTCATAAGGCGCGCCTCGCTCTGCCCGAGAACCGCAAAAACAACGCCGCGATTTTGTGTTTGGCGGCGCCGCCCGCACCGGAGTTTGCGGCTGGAAATTTTGGGGGTTTTAAGGCGGGAAAAGAAAAAAAATTTGGGAATAAAAAAAATTTGGGAAAAGAAAAAATCGGGAAAAGAAAAAATCGGGAATGAAAAATTAAGGGTTTTGAGGCGGAGGAGGGATGGGAGAATCCCGGTGGAAGCAATTCCCCAGCTGGGATTTTCTTGGGAATGCTGGGGGAGTTGAATTAATAATTAATAATTAATTAAAATTTAATAGGATTAATTAATAATTAAGCCCATCCCAGCGCGGGAATGCTGGCGGAGAACCGGAAAAACCGGGATTTGGAGATCCCAAAAGTTGCCGAGCGGGTTGGAAAAGCCGCAGGGAGGAGGGAGGAAAAAAAAAATGGGAAAAATGGGAAAAAATCGATCCCGGGGAAAAAAAAAAAAAGGGATAATAAATTCCCGGGGAAAAAAAATGGGATAATAAATTCCCGGGAAAAAAAAATGGGATAATAAATTCCCGGGGAAAAAAAAAAGGGATAATAAATTCCCGGGAAAAAAAAAATGGGATAATAAATTCCCGGGAAAAAAAAATGGGATCATAAATTAATGCAGAAAATGGGATAATGGATTTCCAAAAAATAAATGGGATAATGAATTCCCCCCCCCAAAAAAATGGGATAATAAATTCACAAAAAATTGGGATAATAAATCCCAAAAAAATTGGGATAATAAATCCCAAAAAATTGGGATAATAAATCCCAAAAAATTGGGATAATAAATTGTAAAAAAAATGGGATAATGGATTTCCGAAAGAATTGGGATAATAAATCCCACAGAAATAAATGGGATAATGAATTCCCGATAAAATGGGATAATAAATCCCCAAAAAACCGGGAAAATAAATCCCAAAAAACCGGGATAGTAAATCCCAAAAAAATGGGATAATTAATTCCAATAAATGGGATCGTTAATCCCAAAAAATGGGATAATAAATACCAAAAAAATGGGATAAATGTGATAATAAATTCACCAAAAAATTGGAATAATAAATTCCCCAATAAATGGGTTAATTAATTCAAAAAAAATGGGATCATTAATCCCAAAAAAATGGGATAATTAATTCCAATAAATGGGATAATTAATTCCCAAAAATTGGGATAATAAATTCCTAAAAAATGGGATCATTAATTCCCAAAAAATAGGGATAATAAATTTCAAAAAGTGGGATAATTAATTCCCATAAATTAGGTAATAAATCCCAATAAATGGGTTTATTAATTCCAATAAATGGGATAATTAATTCAAATAAATGGGTTAATTAATTCCAATAAATGGGATAATAAATCCCAAAAATCCGGGAAAATAAATCCCAAAAAATGGGATAATTAATTCTCAAAATTGGGATAATAAATCCCAATAAATGGGATAATAAATCCCAATAAATTGGATAATAAATTCCAGAAAAAAATTGGGAAAATAAATCCCTAAAAAATGGGATAAATCCCCCCAGAAATGGGATAATTAATCCCCAATAAAATGGGATCATTAATTCCCAACAAATGGGATAATTAATTCCAAAAATGGGATTATAAATCCCAATAAATGGGATAATAAATCCCCAAAAAATGGGATAATTAATTCCAATAAAATGGGATAATTAATTCAAATAAATGGGATAATAAATCATAAAAAAAATGTAATAATTAATTTTAAAAAAATGGGATAATGTTTCCCAATAAATGGGATAATAAATAAAAAAGCCCAACATAATTAATTCCAATAAATGGGATAATTAATTCCAAAAATGGGATAATTAATTCCCCAGAAAATGAGATAATTAATTTTAAAAAATAGGATAATTAATTCAAAAAATTGGGATAATAAATCCCAATAAATTGGACAATAAATTCCCAAAAAAATTGAGAAAATAAAACCCTAAAAACTGGGATAAATCCCCCCAAAAATGGGATAATTAATCCCCAATAAAACGGGATCATTAATTCCCAACAAATGGGATAATTAATTCCAAAAATGGGATTATAAATCCCAATAAATGGGAAAATTAATTCCAATAAATGGGATAATTAATCCCCAATGAAATGGGATCATTAATTCCCTATAAATGGGATAATAATTCCCAATAAATGGGATAATAATTCCCAATAAAATGGGAAAATAAATCCCAAAAATGGGATAATTAATTAAAAAAAAAAAAAAGGGATAATTAATTCCTAAAATGGGGTAATAATTCCCAATAAATGGGATAATTCCAAAAAATGGGATAATAATTCCCAAATACTGTGATAATAATTCCCAATAAATGGGATAATAAATGGGATAATAATTCCCAAATACTGTGATAATAATTCCCAATAAATGGGATAATAAATCCCAAAAAAATGGGATAATTAATTCCAATAAATGGGATAATAAATCCCAAAAAAATGGGATAATTAATTCCAATAAATGGGATAATTAATTCCCAAAAAATGGGATAATTAATTCCAATAAATGGGATAATTAATTCCAAAAAAATGGGAGAATAAATCCCAAAAAAATGGGATAATTAATTCCAATAAATGGGATAATAAATCCCCAAAAAATGGGATAATTAATTCCAATAAATGGGATAATAAATCCCCAAAAAAATGAGATAATTAATTCCAATAAAATGAGATAATTAATTCCAATAAATGGGATAATAATTCCCTATAAAATGGGATAATAAATCCCAAAAATTGGGATCATAAATCCCAGAGCAAACCCGGGGCCTCCCGGTCGATTTTTTGGGAATTTCTCATTCCCGGGATTTGTTTGGATCGATCCCGAGAGTCGCGATTCCCAAAATTCCTCAGGCAGCACCCACAACCAGGATTTCTGCCTCAGTTTCCCTGGAATTGGGATTTGGGATCTGGGGATTGGGAATTTGGGGTTTGGGATTTGGGATTTCGGGGTTTGGGATTTGGGTTTGGGATTGGGAATTTGGGATTTGGGATTTGGGATTTCGGGGTTTGGGATTTGGATTTGAGATTTGAGGTTTTGGGATTTGGGGTTTGGAATTGGGATTTTGGGATTTTGGGATTTTGGGATTTGGGATTTGGGATCTGGGGTTGGGATTCGCGATTTGGGATTTTGGGATTTGGGGTTTGGGATTTGGGATCTGGGGTTGGGATTCGGGATTTGGGATTTTGGGATTTGGGGTTTGGGATTTGGGATCTGGGATTTGGGGTTTGGGCTCGGGATTTGGGATTTGGGATCAGAAATTTGGGATTTGAGATTTGAGGGTTGGGATTTGGGATCTGGGGTTGGGATTCAGGAATTGGGATCTGGGTTTTGGGAATTGGGTTTGGGAATTGGGATCTGAAATTTGGGATTTGGGATCTGGGGTTTGGGATTTGGGATTTGGGGTTTGGGAATTGGGATTTTGGGATTTGGTGTTTGGGATTTGGGATCTGGGGTTTGGGGTTTGGGATTTGGGATCTGGGATTGGGATTAGAGATTTGAGGGTTGGGATTTGGGATCTGGGATTGGGATTCAGGAATTGGGATCTGAGTTATGGGAATTTGGTTTGGGATTTGGGATCTGGGATTGGGATTCGGGATTTGGGAACTGGGGTTTGGGAATTGGAGTTCGGGATCTGGGGTTTGGGACTGGGACTGGGATTTGGGATTTGGGATCAGAAATTTGAGGATTTGAGATCTGAGGGTTGGGAATTGGGATCTGAGTTATGGGAATTTGGTTTGGGAATTGGGATCTGAAATTTGGGATTGGGGATTTGGGGTTTGGGATTTGGGGTTTGGGGTTCGGGATCTGGGGTTTGGGACTGGGATTTGGGATTGGGATCAGGGATGGGGAATTGGGATTTGGGAATTGTGAATGGGGATTGGGGATTTGGGATTTTGAATCTGAGGTTTGGGATCTGGGATTGGGAATTCAGGATTTGGGATCTGGGATCGGGATGTGGGGTTTGGGATTGGGATCTGGGATTGGGCTCTGGATTTGGGGTTTGGGGTTTGGGATCAGGGATCTGGGATCCGGAATTCAGGATTTGGGATCTGGGATTGGAATCAGGGATCTGGGATTGGGTTTGAGATTTGGGATTTGTGATTTGGGGTTTGGGATCTGGGATGGGGATCTGGGCTCTGGGATCTGGGATTTGGGGTTTGGGATTGGGATCTGGGCTTTGGGATTTTGGGGCTGGGATCAGGGATTTGGGATCTGGGATCAGGGCTCTGGGGTTTGGGATCTGGGATTTGGGATCAGGGATCAGGGATTTGGGATCAAGGATTTGGGATCAGGGATCAGGGATCAGGGATTTGGGATTTGGGATCAGGGATTTGGGCTCAGGGATCTGGGATTTGGGATCAGGGATTTGGGATTTGGGATCTGGGATTTGGGATTTGGGATCAGGGATCAGGGATTTGGGATCAGGGATTTGGGATCTGGGATTTGGGATCAGGGATCTGGGATCAGGGATTTGGGCTCAGGGATCAGGGTTCAGGGATTTGGGATCAGGGATTTGGGCTCAGGGATCTGGGATTTGGGATCAAGGATTTGGGATCAGGGATTTGGGCTCAGGGCTCAGGGATCAGGGATCAGGGATTTGGGATCAGGGATTTGTGCTCTGGGATTCCCAGCGCGGCTGTTCCCGGCAGGAATTTCCTGCGGGACGCGCTGTTCTCCGGCGGATCCCAGAGCCCGTATTCCCGAGCCTCGCGCGGCCACATCACCCTCAGCCAGGTGGGAATTCCGGGAATTCCGGCAACTCTTTCCCCGGGAACCGCCCCAGGAAAAACCCCGGAATTCCCACAGGAGGAGCGGGAAGGACAAATTC